GCTACTATCCTCGCTTGTCTCTGTACAGCTTATCCTCCTATCATCTCCACACTCACACTCTCTCTCTCTATGCTGGAATGACTGGTTGGGTTCTTGAGATGTGGCAGAGCACCTCAGCCCAACCACGCAAAAACAAGTGTTAGCCACCTTCGATTGGCTTACTGTGATAGGAAACCACAAATCTAGAGCTCGCCTTGTTGTGGCGTAGTTTGGTCCCTCTCAGTGTCTCTTTCCCTCACCAATGATCAAGTAACACAAGTTCCTATCTACTCTCCTCTCTCTAACGATGGACAAGATTCTGAACCTGCTTTTGGCTGCTGCTGTTTGGGTGATGGGTGCTGTCAGCTGCCAAGATTACCCCCTCCTTCTGTAAAGGATTTACTCCATGGCTGGGTGTTCCATTAAGCAATCTACATTGTAGATTTATTCCCATGAACCTAATCTTGATTGCATGTATATTTTGTGGTTGAGTTGGGAATGGAGTCTCCCCTCCTAAACCCTTTCTCCATTGTGTTGAATATATTTGCTCTATCATCTTTATTCCCAAAAGAAAGCCTACAGTTGCTACAAACGAGTGCTCCGATTGCTTTGCTTGAAATAAGCATGGCCACAGAACACACTCGTCTGCTTCACGCCAGGAATCATCAACATTCCATGTACTACTTTTAAGAGAAAATTATCGGAGGCATCAACATTGTTAATTTGAATTTTCTGTGCACAACTGTTCTTTCAGAGAGCGTTATCAGAGAGAGATCAACACTGTTCAGTCATTGAATCTGATTCGATCGACATTTCGGAAGGGAGTTGTGGCTATCAATCACGGGCATATAGTTCAATCAATACAAGCTCGATTGGAGGAATACTTTCCATCAAGATTTGATGCCAATGTGACAGATGAGTTAGTTTATATAGGTGGAATCTAACATGTCATGATCTGATTAGCGTGAAATATTCACCATATCAAACATGAATAGAGCAGGAAGAACAAATAGGAGCTATGTCAAACATGAATAGAGCAGGAAGAACAAATAGGAGCTATATCAAACTTGAATAGAGCAGGAAGAACAAAAAGGAGCTATGTCAAACATGAACAGAGCAGGAAGAACAAATAGGAGCTATATCAAACATGAATAGAGCAGGAAGAACAAATAGGAGCTATGTCAAACATGAATAGAGCAGGAAGAACAAATAGGAGCTATGTCAAACATGAATAGAGCAGGAAGAACAAATAGGAGCTATATCAAACATGAATAGAGCAGGAAGAATAAATAGGAGCTGAAATATTCTCCATATCAAAGATGGATAATAAAATGAAGCATAAAGAACAAGAAAAACCTGAATTGCAAGGGATCCACTCTGCAACAAGAGATCAAGGAAATAGATAGAGCTGGATATCTTTAAGTTGTCCCTCCATCCGAGTCTTCAGTTTAAAGATATAATTTGTTCTTCGCCTTACGGAGTAGTCATAGGCTCATAATATGCGAGCATCAAGACCTGAAAAAGGATGGATGATGGATAAGAAAAGTTCTTTTATTCTTTTTGAGAAAAAAATAAAATGTATCATGCAGAAACCTAAATACAAGAGTTCAAGTAATTTTTTTTATGCAAAGGATAAGTGATAAGGACGAGATTTGATCATAGGATTTTGTTATCAATAATCAAAGCATTTACTGGCTAAAATAGTTGACATCCTCCCAATCTAGGTTTTTAACAAAAGAATAATTTATTAAAACTTGCAAAAAATGAGAATGTATTATTTCCATTGTGAGGAATCATGCTCCATTTCATGTTGTTCCTAGAGAAAGCTATTGTTCTTCAACAGTAGCTGAGAGGAGGAGGAAATGGCCTGAGGCTCAGTTGTTGCTGCAAGGACAAAAGCACTGAAGAATCTGATGCACTCTTGGGTTTGCAGCTGTAATGCAGATTAGGATGAAGATCACCTCAATGATACCTAAAAGGGAATAAATTAAATATTTATAAATATGATATGCTAATCCACAGCTGAATAGGACCTGAAGATGAGGTGATGTATTGAGAAAAATGGAGTATGATCAATTAGTCACTGCCTCAAAGCAGAAAGCAACACTAACTGGTTCAAAGAACTAAAATACAGAACCTCTAGGAGTAATACTTCTTCCAGTCCTATCAGATAAAGACTGTAATCCCTGATCTGGAGTTCCAATTGCAGTCCTTTGTTAAAAGAAGTGAATGCACCAAACAAGGGATTGCATAATGTGGGTTTCAATTTTTTTGATAATATTCCGATGAACTAAAGAAAAAGCAGATTCCGATGAACTACTCCCAATTTTTTTGATAATTTCCACCATAAGTCATATAGTAATTGAAAGAACACTTTCCTAAAAATATTTGAATATATATATATATATATATATATAATATTTTTAAATTTGATCTAATATACATCTGACAGGTAAGAATACAAAAAACCTTTTTTTTTTTTTGTATGGGTCTCTTATAATTTTAAAGTGAGATATACAACATTCACAGGACAAACATATTTTTATGCTCTCCATTGAACACAAGGGCAGTGAAGAACACTGCCATGCTAACATCTCAACACAAATCTAGATATATTGCTTCTTTCAAGTTTCCCTTTCACATACATACAAGATTGAAGGTGCAGAAGCAATTATTGATGGGTTATGCAGACATGATTTCAAGTCCTTCATGTTACTACCACTTGAGCTGCTGCAAGCCTTGCAATTGGTACCCTGCAAAACAACCAGATCTTATTGCTCTCTTTGTTTTTCCTCCAATATGAGGTCAAGCAGATTGATATTTATTGTTCATCAATTGTATCTGCCTGTGCATCAACAACTGAACAAGTGGCAAAAGCATGGAACTATGAGTTGTGGATCCAAAGAGTGTAGCAGAACCTGAAGGGGGAGCATGAGACATAGTCCAGCCCAGCTTGTGCAAAG